AAAACAGAAAAGAAAATATTGATGTGCCTCTGTGGAAATCCAGGGTTTGCTCCTGCACAGTGTCCTGCAGGCAGCATTGTATTCCCTGTGGTCCAGATGGAAGATAGAGAAAAGACACAGGTGATGAGAGATATGAGGGTTCCTCAGGTTGGACAGATCCATGTGGACCACGAAGGCAACTCAGTGGGACACCAAAGTGGGTAGGTAACTGATGAAATGGAGTTCCAGTGGCAGCAGAGGAACTCTTGCTTGCATTGCACAGAATTCAGCTGCCCCGGAGTGCAGGGGAGCTCTAATTCACATTGGGCAGGTTCTCAGCAAGACAGACCTGCCAAGGATTGTTGGACACCAATAAAACATAGGGCTCAGAATGTTCTGAACTGTGGGCTGTTGGGTCTGGGATGGGATTCTTAGGGAAAATAGCACTCCCAGTTTGCTTTTTTATTCTACTCCTTTCTTTCCCAGCTGAGAGCCACTGTAAGAAATGGGGTGCTGAGAGATCTTCATCCTACCTTGATTGTACAGTCACTTTCACCCTCAGAGAACCTGCCTAGTCCTGTGCAAAAGAATGGAAAGGAGTCTCTGTATCTTTCAAAATATAGTAATTCAAAATTGATCTCTAAGCTGTGAGTTTTTTAAAGAAAAAAAATTCATCTTCAGATAGAAATTTCTGTTCAAAATAATACTGAATGTTAACAAGAAGTGCCTGTTGACCCTGTTTGGATCAGAGGAAAATGATATTAACCTGAAATAAGAATTATGGGACATGTTTACAGCATGTGTGAAGCCAGAGATTAATGTATGAGTCATGAGGCTGTCCAGGAAGAGAAAACTGTGGGTGAGTGCCAGTGGGGAAAAACCCGAGGAGTTAGCAACATGATCGGAGCAGAGTGAAATGTGGCAAAGGTCTGGAAATCTCAAAACACATGAAGATGATCGGGGGGCTGGAGCACCTCTCCTTTGAGGACAGGCTGGGACCACTGGGGCTGTTCAGCCTGGAGAAGAGAAGGCTTTGGAGAAATCTTATAGCAGTCTTCCTGCAAATAAAGACTTACAGAGAAGCTGGGGAGGGACTTTTTATAATTGCATGTAGTGATAGGAAGAGGCTGAAGGACTTCAAACTGAAATATGGTAGACTTAGGTTTGATGTTAGGAAGAAATGCTTAACTGTGGGGGTGGTGAGGCACTGGAACAGATTGCCCAGAGGAGCTGGGGATGGCCCATCCCAGTGAGTGCTCAGGGACAGATTGCGTGTGGTTCTGAGCAACATGGTCTAGTGGGAGGTGTCCTTGCCTGTGGCAGGAGGGTTGAAATGAGGTCACTTCCAAGGTTGCTTCCAACCCAAACCATTCTATGATTCTATGAAACAGAAATAGAAGGAGCAGGGGGATTGTACAAGGATACAGTTTTTCTATTTGTATGTGAATATTGCTAAGAAAGTATCCAACTTTGATATACTTATTCAGACTCCTGTGAAGCTGGAGTAACCCCACAACAGCCGATGGAGTAGTGCTGGTGAGGATGTTCATGGCTTTAGTCCTGCCAGGACCACCTGGGGATAACGTGTGCTAGTCTGGACAAGGGACTAATATTTGTGCCTTTCCTAAGGTTACAGAGAAGGAAGCTTTCGTTATCAAGTGTGCCACGGGACAGTAAAACAAAGGTTTGGGGCAGCGGGAGGAAACCTGCACATGTGATAGAGCTCAGATTGCTGTCAAAAAGATGGAGAAATTGCGGACAAAACGTCAGCTCTTTGGATAATTACAGCAGCCCTTTTCAACCTTCAAAAGCCCGTTGTTTTTACTCCACTTCACTTGTGAGTGAACATTTTGTGGAAAAGTGAATAAAATGCTGCATTTTCAGCAGTGAAGGAAACAATGGCAAATGAAGACATCTCAGTGTTGACCTTGAGTACTGGAGCTCAGTGCCTGACAAAGGAAACCTCCCTGCATCAGGCTGAGCTGAGCACCATGTTTCCCTCACTGGCTGCTGCTGCAACTTGTCTGAAAGCCAGTGGGATTTATGCTGCTGAAATATATGGTCTTACTGACCCATGAATATACCTACTGACCATGAATATACCTGCTGCATAATTTATTGGAATGTTAGTAGTTCAGTCCTGTGATGTTTGTGATAGAAAATCTTCACTTTGAGCCAGTGGGAAATTTTGTCAGGGTGAGGAGTGCAGGCCTGGCCTCTGCTTTGCCTTTTTTCTTTTCCATTGCAACACAATTAACCTTTTCATTAGAAGAGCTCTGTTCCAAATAAGCAAACTTCTCAATGTGTATTACTGAGCCATTTCAAGTTGTCTCTTGGTTTGAAACAAAACATCTTTGTTCCAGCCATGCATGACATTTGGAGACCTATTTATACAATGTGTCAGCTCCATTTGTTTTCCTCATCCTGATATTTTCCTCTGTATTTTTATTTAGCCATCCAGATTGCAATGAACGGGGTTGGTTCTGGTGTCCTCCTGTGCTTCCCCAGACTGAGGCACTGGCTGCCTTTGTCTTTCTCCACTTTTGTGGGTAGAGGTGAAACAACCCAAAATCAGACACAGCTCTGCCTACTTCATCCTCCTTGTACTGAGTCCAGCAGCAGAAGGCTGCTGTGGGATGGAGAGATGGCAGAAGGACCTGCTGTGATGACAGCTTCTCTCCTAAGTCCTGCTTGTGGGAAGCACAGGGCTGCAATCCCTTCTGCTGCAGGGGTCTCACTGAGGGACAGACTTCCAAGCTGCATCAGTAAATAAGCCCTCCTTGCAAAACGCCTGCCTTTTCCTTAGACAGCCATAGTTTGTCCTAAGTCTCTAGCCAGTCATTCTTGTTTGGCAGCACTACGCTAACCGATACAAGAAAATTCAACACAAAATTGAAAAAGGAAAAAAAAAATCAAGATATTGGGTAGTAAAGCTTTTAACACCCTGATTTTCAGTAAGTGTAAATAGTTATGATGCTTGCCTCATCCTCTCCCTTTTAAAAATTTTATCTATCTTGGGATATGTCTTATCTTCAAGAAGTGATCCAGGATAGTGCTATGTCTGCTACTCAAGCAGTAACATAATGTCTAGCCCAGAACTGGCTCTTCCTAGGTACAAATGAAAATCTAAGTCCTTTCTTGAAATCATTTACACAACCTGCCAGATGAAGGTTTCAAACTGCTTTAACACATACAGGGTGTCAGCAAACTACTTCAAGCCTCACTTTAACCAGGAAAGGAGCCTGCAGACGCCAGCCTAGCAGTGGTAAGCCTGGCTCTTGCAGCAGCAGAGCCTCTTTAGTTCTCTCCAAATTGTCTTCACCAGGAAGGCTGGGGATGGAGGATGAAACGGCTCCATGCAAGCAACACTGCTCCTGCCAGCTGGCCCACTCAGATACTGATAGGACCAAGAAAGGCATCTGCATTGACCTTCTGCTTCCCCATCCCTGTAACAGCAGGCAGAAGGGCTGTAAGAACAGAGATTAAACTTCGGAGCACCTCACAGCTGTGTCTGACATAGACACTCCCTCCGACTCTTGGGAAAGTGCACAATCTCCTCTGAATGTGGAACTGCAGGTCATTCCCACGCCAAACACTGAATGTGTCCAGCTTTTGCATGTGATGGATGGGCTTGTGCTGCAAGAGGTGGAGGCAGCGGCACGTGAGGAGGAATGCCTTCAGTGGTGTGCGCTTCCAAAGCCGGGCCTGCAAGCTCTGCTGTGTGCTCCAGCAGCTGGGGCAGGGCTGCGTGCAGGGTCCCCGCCAGCACAAATGAAACCAAGGCATCCATATGCTGTGCATTAGCAGTGTTTGATCTCCTGCACTCTGGCTCGCCGTCAGACGCTCCCTCTTCCTCTCTGCAGCAGAATGGAGTGCGGCGGTGAAACCTGTGAGTCTGCATGTGTTTATGGGCCCTGTGATGGGAACTGCAAAGCTTAACACGAAACAGTTGAGAAAATGTTGCTGGCCACAGCCAGAAAACCTGTCCTCATCTGTTCCATAATCACAGTGGAAAAGAAAATTCCTTGAGTTTTATTTTCCTGTTTGAAGATGAAAAAAAAAGGACAAAGTAGACGGAATTTAGTCCAACTGGTGTGACACCTGGATTAGAAAAGCAAAATGCAATCTCCTCTGAGTGCAGGAATTGTGGCCATGAGTGGCCAAGGCTACACGGACAAGGCGCAGCTTCAGTAACCCCAGGCTTGAAGCCTGCCCCTGTGTAGACTACTGTCACTGTTCACCATGCATTTTCAAGTCAGTTATTGCAGTGACTCAGTTATGTTTCACTAAGAAGCTACAGACACCTCTGATCCCCATTAAAGGTGTTGGTGAGACAGGAAAGGAGGGCTTCACTCCATGGAGGATTTTCTGGCCCCACAGCATTGTCTCATGCAGACTGGGAAACTGGACAACACTGTAACTTGGAAACTGTATGGTGGGGAAGCACAAACAACAACCATGTAACAATAGAAATGAATTTTATTTTGTAAAAAGTTATAAAATGAATATTGTACAAAAATAAAGTCTGTAGAGAACTTTGGTTGATTAACACAAATGACTGAGACATATAATTGCAGGTGAAGTAAAAAAATCCAGAGAAGCACACTCCTGTCTTCAGTAAGGTCTAAAAACTAAAAAAAAAAACCAACCAAAAACCTAAAAAAAAAAATCACAAACTTTACCCTTTTGTATTTTGAACATAGAGATTTGCTTTGGTTGCAGCCCCTTCAAGCTGCACAGAAAATGCTTTGAGGCAAGTTTTCACCAGCTGGGGCAGGAGAAGGCTCAGCCCTGAGCGCTGTCGCCGATCAGCTCCGGCAGCGCAGCTGAGCCTCGGTGCCCGGCAGGCGCTTGGTGCCACCTCGTGCCACCGTGGGGGTGTCGCCGCCCCCGAGCGGCGCGGAGGGGCTGGCCGTGTCCCCGTGGCAGTGTGAGAACAGACCCTGCGGCTGGTTCTCCAGGTCTATCCGCCCGGGAAAGCGGCGGAAGCCGGGGATGGGTTAGATGCCATGCACCTGGAACACCTTTCTATGCCTGGTCTGGACCTTCTTGACCTCTAGACCCTTCTGCAGTGGTGCCCCAAGGGGCCCAGGGCAAAATGAGTATGGAGAGCCATTACATGCGTGAGATAAAAGGCTGGACCATGGTTTTCAATAAGGAATTTTTTTTCGTGTTGCTTTTGTGGGAGTTGATGCTTCACTGGTTGTCAGGCATGTCTAGTGACCTGCACTCCTGCTCTTTTGGGAAAAATGTCTCCAGAATGAGAGCTTGTGTTAGCGGTCACGTACAAACAGCTTTGCTGTGCAACCTCCCTCCTCCTAAGGAAACTTGGACTGTTCTGCTGCATGGGTATGATCCTGTAATGTTTCAGCAAATTATACAAAACACTCTGGTTATTTAACACAACTGTTTACTTGCAGGCTATATTAAATCCAGGGCTAACAACTAGTAAGAGGGATTTAACCTCTTCTATACGGAAGTATGGAAGGAAAAGCTTAAATAAATATAACTAGAAATTATAAGGCTAAATGTGATTATTTTCCATTTGTCAATAGTTATATGAGGTCAGTTGGCATAAAGTGTGAGAAAAAAATGTGGCTACATTTAAAATATGACTAAAATTAGTTTTTCTAACAAATTGCTAATGTTGAGCCAAGTCCTGCGACCCTCACTCATCCAGAGCCATTGCTGCTCCTGCACATGTATGACTGCAGTAATTTTCAAAAGGCTTAGTGACAGGAATAAGGACTGCAGGCTTCAGCGCTACCTTTTGTGAACATAATTAAGATTTTGTTTAAAAGAAAAAAAGGTAAAGTAAGTGATTTTTTGCATTCAAGTTAACACCTTCAATCAAAAGCATGGACCGTTGTTCCCAACGTCTTTGTCTCTCTATATCCCCAAGTGCCATCTACTTTGGCACCTTTGAAAGACACTTTAATAAATAAGGAGACTCATTACTGAACTGTAATAAATAACAATAACTTAATCTCAATAAATATCTTCTGTATACTTATGTCTCTGAAGGGATGCATTGCATCAAGTAGTCTCTCTCAATCACAATGACCAAATAGAAATGTAGTTATGCAAGTGATGTTAGTCCTTTGTAAACCTAAAGAAACGCATTTTGTGTAGGCTGGGCTTGTTATTTCTCTTACTATACTAGGAAGAAGTGCTTAAAAACTCAACTTGTTTTCACAGGTATCAGAAGAACAAAATCCTGCACTCAATTTGAAGAAACAAAAGATGGAAATAACCAAACTTAGCCAGTAAGAGGAACTGGTTTGCTTCATAAGAACTTGAGCCTGGTCATTTTGATATTTGCCCAATATCATCTTACTTACAGGGGTAATCTTATAGCTTAGGAGTTGTCCTAAGCACTCAGGAACTGCCCTCCAGTGAGCAGTAGCACAATGTGTCTTTCAGTAGAGCTGAGGGCACAGGGGATTAGTAAGGGACTCCTAAGCTACTTCTTAGCTAAGCTTCTTGGTATAACTGGTATATCATGGCATAACTACAACACAGCGTGGTATGGCAGGGTTGTGTTTTTAAGCACGTTCCTCATGGACTGAGTCTCACTGATGGTGGATTGAGTCAAACAGGAAAGGTAGCGTGCACATCATCCATCCATCGTCATCTCCACCTGAGCTTTTATCTAAATCCCCATAGGACGCCAGAAGTCTCCATCCTTCTACTCTGCCGCATGCCTCCTTATCCCCAGGCTCTCATGGCTCCTTAGTCTGTGTTCTTGGTCCTTTTTCCTCCACCTGGAGCAGACACTTCCCTGGGAACCTTGGTCCCTCTCTTTGCAGCATAGCAGGAATGGAAAACTGTGCCGCCTCGACATGCAGCCGTCAGACGCATCCACACCTTTTTGCGGAATGTTTTTTCAGTATGTGGTAAACCAGGTTATCATCCAAAAAGGACAGGTCGTCATCAAAGGCTGTGGGTCTGCAACAGGCTTGCCTCACTTTGTCAGTGACCAGTTTTTTCTTTCTGGTTAAGTTTTTTAAAATTTTGTCATAGGTGGTCTCAGCTGCGTCACAAGATCCACTGCAATACCGGAAAATTAGCTCTTCTTTGGTTTCATATCCCAAATCCAAGTCGGTCACATTTAAATGTATTTCTGTTAAGACACATCCTCGATTTTTGCCCTTTTGATTCCTCCTTCCTTTTCTGTTGGAATTCTCTATGTTTGTGGCTGCATTTTGACGGTTTCTCTCCCGCCTAGAAAAAATCGGAGTCTGTTTATCTGGTGACCTCCTCAGTCTTTTAATAGTGGCTTGAATAAAGTCCACTACCTCATCAAACTGATCAGGATAATCCTCTGGCATATTAGCTGTTTGGGAAAGAGAGAAAAGGCTTTGTCACACATCAGTTATCACAAAGTTTATCCATTCACAACTCAAAAATATTATGCACATGCAAGCTTTTGTGCCCATCACTTCAGAACACATGCCCAGACCCTCAGAAATCAAGGAGAATTTGGAATGGTTTAGGTCATCACAGAAATTCATTTGGGGAAAGATAAATGAGACGTATTTGTATTTCTGTGTGTGTCTGCTGATGCTTGGTAGTGTTTCAGCACATCTTTTAACACTGAATGAGCCCTGTGGAAATAGAGGGAAGGAAAAACATATCATGGTATGAATATTAGTTAAGAGGTGGATGAAGCCACCAGTAAAGAGGTTTTACAGACTCTTCCCAGCAAAGTAGCAACAGGAAGAGTTTTCTTTAAAGCAATTTTTCCATTATAGTTGTTAATTATTTTCTTTTCACACCAGCAGCGGTTAGTATTGCCAAAGCCACCTGTCAATAAGGTTTTTGGGCATGACAGAAGGAGGATTTCCTGGGGTACCAGACTGAGATATTATTCCTGGATGAATGCCTGGGTTTTTACTGCTTCTAGGGGATAATTATTTTCATAGCTTTTGAATAATTTCTCATGTAAGTGTTTTGTATCACAAGATGCTGATCACACTGAGTAAAAATAGGTCAGAATAGTAGTATTATGTTAATTTTTTAGGGAAATGTTATGAATACATTTTCTTTTTATGAAAATTTAATTTTTATTCTATTTAATTTATCACTTGGTATATCATTGATGAATTATTCAAGTAAATTGTACTATGAAGTCAATGAAATGTTTCGATACTAGCAGAATGAACCTCTTCAGGAAGGGTGAAATTAAATGTATTCTGAAATGCTTATAAATTTTGCCATTTCATCATGATTTGGGAAAAAAAAAAAAAAAAAGCATTGAGCTCCCTAATCTTCCCATGGACTAAATCCCTCAAAATTACCTGCTTTAGTGAATTCAGAGAACTAAGGGAGGGCCAGACTGCCAGGACTCTGTGTGGATGCCCTTACCTTGCATTATTAATGACCACATCTTAAACTATATTGCAATATCGAGATCTTTTTTTCAGATTTATTGCCCCAAAAATTGAGACTTCTTCCTTTCAAGTAAGTCCTTAGAGAATGCTCCTTTCTGCACTTAACTCCTAAAACCCAACACGCAACAGACCGTGTCACACTGGTCTTGCATATATAGGAATATCCATCTCCAATACTCCTACAAATACTGCAGGAACACCAAAGATTGGGAGAGGCAATATCCAGTGCAGTGCACCTGGTCAGGAGCTGGTACCTACACAAAGGCTCCCACTCAGAGAGGTGCTGAGATTGGAATGGCTCCTCAGGCAAAGGCTCAGCATTTCCACTTACTCCATTCCATTGCTTCCACTTCCATTTACTCACATTTCCCTGATGAGCACAGCAAGACAGGAATCCCAATGGGTGACCTGAGCACAGGTACCCAGCTCAGACAGGGTAGCACTGACTCTGTTAACAGGAGGCAGGAAGGCATGAGGCTGCCCCCACTACCTAGCAAAAGTGCACCCTCATATCCTCAGTAGAAGCACCAAATACAGAGGAGATGGGGGGCAGCAGGATCCTAACTCTGCCAGTGCAAAAACCTGCTGGAACAGAGAGCATCTGCACATGATCAGGAATGGGACTGCTGCCTGAAGTAGCCACATCCTAGAGGCCTCCATCCATCAATAGTGAGGGATCAGAGGTATGTGTTTTCTGTTGGATGTATCCAGCAAAATAGTTTATACTGGTAAAGGAGTAATGGAGGCTGGAAACCTTGTACCTCCATGTAATGAGGGTGATACAAGGCAAACAGGGTGCTATAAACTGTAGAGTTTGAAACTGAAAAAGGTGAATTACACTTTGTTTTATCCATGCTAAAAACAACAATCCCAGAGAGCAGTGTTCATGTTCAAAGACACAAGGGAGGGATGGCTGCTATCTATACAGCTATGTGGAACCTGAACAAGGCAGGACCCAGCTCCATATCTCTGCAACATCAGTGGTAAATACACTTTTCTTGCATTCCTCTATCTCTGCAGCAGGTAACAAATACACACTGTGAGGGGAGTTGCTTGGATGGATGTGTCCCCTGGATGCACCAACCAGCTCCTTTGCTGAACAGGCTGGTCTGCCTACTCTGTACAAGTATTGCCCAACCGAGCAAGAACCAGGTCCCGGCAATAGGTGGGCTATGTTCCCTTTAAGCAACAAGGGCTAGACATCTTTCTAGACTCAGTTAAAAAAGATGACCCACATGGAGCTCACATAACCCCCATTGCTGAAGTACAAATTTGGCCTTGACACAGATACAGATGGAAAGTAGCTGGCAGAAGGCAATTATTGCTCGAGTCTGAGTAGTTTCTAGATTTCCTACACACAAACTAGTTTTCTTAGTCTGTAACCAAATTAGAGAAGGATGTAGCCCTGAGGAGATGGCTCTAGAAGTGCCCTTCACACTCTTAAACTCCAACTGCCCTCCTCTTATACAACTGTGACTACCCAAGCCCACACCTCTTTCACGTATTCTTTAGCACAACCTTTCTACCAACAGTATGATGCAAGGAGACCTTGGCTATGGAGAGTGAAACACAACTGTAGGGAAACATACGAGGGCTTAACAAAATTAGTGCAGTGATCAACCATCAGGAAGGGGACAAGAGACAGCTACAGCAAAACCCAACCTATATGTAGAGGTTATTGTTTGCAACATTCAGCCTTATGCTTATCTCGAGCCTGGCACGCTGACAGGGTAGTGAGAGCTCCCTCTCCCAAGAAGGGAGAAACAAAACTATGGATTAACTGAAGAGATAATCCAGCTCGGCACATCACTTGTAAATGGCTTGCAATTGAGGGGCAAAAATACCACCTAGCCCTGTGAGAGTGCCATAGGCAGGAGTGTACTTTGGCTAAATACCAATGAGACAGCTACGGGGTTCAAGCACTGTTCTGGCAACTATATCCTGGAGGGTAGTAGATAGGAGGAGGGCAGACCCATGTGGTGAACTGTGTTCCTGATAAAAGTGCACACTGAGATCCATCCTGGTTCATGTGTGATTCCTACCCCAGCTGCACCAAGGGAGGTGATGCCACTGAGAGCTTTCTGCACTGCGAGTGGCCTGTGATATTTCAGGTTGAGGAAACTAAATGCCACTAAAGAGCCCCACGCAATGCTGGTGACACAGACGTGCACTGTCAACCCTGCAGAAGGTGTGAGCAGTAGGGCAAAAAGTAGATCAAATAATCAACCCAACAGCATTCAACTAGAGAAATCCTACCTGCACACACAGACAAGCTGCACCCAGAAAATGGGGTCACTGGCAGCAAGACTGGTCCTGCTAATGTCATTAAGGCTCTAACATGAACTGTTCAAGAAGTGTTCCGAGTGCCTAATGGAGCTGAGGATCCCTGCTCTGCTCATGCCCTACTGCAACACCAGGATATATTTTGGAGACTCACTGGGAGGAATGCCAGTACTATTAGTAAGATGAATTCCAATTTCCTGCCTCCAGTGTGGACTTTCTCTTCAGTCCAGGGAACTGGAAACCATCCCATGCAGGTATCCAAATCTACCAGTAAGACTCCTGCAGTGGCCCCCAATATTTGGAGATTACATCACTGAAGGAGACAAAAGGCCTGTGGGTGATAAAAGAAAACTGGTGGAAACAGTGGGCACAGAGCTCCCCTTGAGAAAATGTGCAGGTCATCCTGGTCACTGTCCGCCCACCTAAAATTCATGTGCTGGTACAGGCTATATAGGTACATCAAATCAACACAGTGCAGCTGCATTTCTGGGCTACTCAGTGAGACCTTGCAAGTTTCTGTAAGCAGCACTCTCCTCTGCCTGTGGAGCCTCAAACTGGCTGTGAGCAATGCACCAATGCTCTTTTGGCAGCTTCAACGCAGTGCCAAGGTACCCCAGGTTTGCTTCCATAATTTAACAGTCTTGGCAACAGCTCCAATCTCTGCAATCAGATAATTTTCTACTGCTTAATAAATCAGTCATCAGTGTGACTACAAGCAGTCACTGGGAATGGGTCACAGGGGTCTGGAAGAAAGATTGACAACCAGGAGTGGAGGGAGACTTGTCCTAGCCCCGTGCTGAGGTGACAGCCATGGCTCTGTAGGGATATTCAGCTTTCCAACAAGCATGGGTGTGGAGACCTAAAACCTGAAACAAAACTCTGTGAAGAACTGCTGAAATGGGACCCAGAGCAATCCAGTGGAAACACCAGCACTGACACCAGGCACGATGGGTTGAAACCAGAGGTAAATGCTGAGGAAGCTTCCATCAGACATCATACATGGATAAGCAATAACCTCTGTGACTAAACTCCGTAAAAGGCTAACAGACAGAAGGGAAGGTGGAGAAGACTGACTGCAGGATGTCCCCATCCTGATGGGCACGTGGTAGATGTGCTCCAGGGATGCTGAGACCTCTCTGCACCACAGACATCACACCCTGTGCACTTGTTTGGTCTGTGCAGTGTTTTAAGTTCTGCTGGGGGCAGTGGGGGTACTGAGCAGAGCTGTGACCAGGGAACATCAGCGCACTCATAGGGGCTGCCTTAGTGAGCAGCCATGGTTTGTAAGCTGAATAAAGCTTTTTGGTAGAGCTTTTTGTTACCCTTCTGTTTAAAAAATGTTTATAGTCTCACAGCATCTTAGCTTCTCTCACACTGCACACACTGCGCTGACTTGACTGTGCAGCAGTTTGCTGGGGGGGTTTCACACCCCTGCAAGGAGCAGATACACATTCTGCATATGTGTGTATGTGTGCTCCATTTACACATACACACGTACAAACACAACTAATTATACACACACACACGCACACATTTTTTCAAAACAAACTAGTTTACTGACAACACTTGCCTTCTGCCGGAAAAGCTGAGAGAACAAACACATGACAGATGCCTGTCATGTTGTGCAATGTGCCAGCAGAAAATGATGGGATAATGGCAT